AATCTAGGAGATAAGGTATTAAAAATAAATAGAGTTGTATACAGAAAGTGTTAGCCATTGTTATATTCTTAAGAGTCATATGCTGATGATGGGAATTTGAGGCTGGAGGTAGGATCCATCCGCTTAAGTGACCCCCTACAAAGTTTCTAAGCTTCTCAGTACATTGGAAGCCACATATGCATTGCTTCCAGTCAAAATTATGCATGTCAAAAACAAAACAATAACAAAAAACACAAACGCAGAGGCTATATCTGACAGCTCCGAGGTCTCAGGACCACTGCTTTGAGTGGCAAAAAAAAAACAGAAATTCTGCACATGTGAATGTGTGTATGCAAGGCTGAGCTCTGGCAACAGCAAAGAGCCATTTAAACATTCACTTCAAGAAGCTTCCAGTCAGGATGATGTAGCTGCAAAGATTATCAGACTTGAGACCCCAGTTCACTCACTATCAACAGATTTAAATCAAAGAGGAAAGGAAGGAATTACCTAGAACAGAACATCCACTGACACCTGAACATGATACTATGTCTGCCTCCTCCTTTCACAGCCTTCCATGTAACTTTCCTGTTTCCAAAAGTGTTCTCAAGCTGCACGGAAATATCAGGATTCCAGGAATGCATGATTATATCCCATACAGTCTGACAGTTCAAAACACTGTTTGCTATATTTAAGGAGGGACATTCTTATTCAAATTGTGAGGAAGACAAGAAGTCATTTTACTTTCCTGCTAGCAGAAAGGTCAGCGTTGCCAAGATCCAACATATATTCCACCATTCCAACACATGTAAACCAAAGTGCAATCATGTGGATATTACCAACAGAACTAGAGATAATGGCCACAAACTGAAGCACCATAAGTTTCACATGAACTTAAGGAAAATTTTTTTTAACAGTGACAGAGCGCTGGAACAAACTGCCCAGAGAGGTTGTGGAGTCTCCTTCTCTGGAGATCTTCTAAACCCGCTTGGATGCCACCCTGTGCCACGTGCCCTAGGTGCCCCTGCGTGTGCAGGGGGGTTGGACTAGATGACCTCTAGAGGCCCCTTCCAACCTTAAGCATTCTATGATTCTATGATATTAAAAAAAAAAAATCTTCCAAAAAACAAAGTGCAGTATTCTGTCTGTTAGTATAAATGCAGACAATAGAGGCTAAGTGGACTACCTCTTGAAAGAGACACTTGCAGATGAACCTAGAGACTAAGAGGATGTTACAAGATGTTTTTCTTGGTCAAAGAGGATGCTGTGAACGCAGATTGCCCACAGTGCCTTTCATTTTCATAATTTAGACCTAAATCTACCTACAAGTGCATAGCTCTACATATTTAGTTCTATTCTTTAATTTCAGAAAGTCCACCAGCTTCTGAAATTCCTCTTTCAAAGAAGTATTAAATAAATTCTCAGCTTCAAATTTCAAGGTGGAATTCACACTTCCACCTTAAGGCCTGAATGATCATTAGGTAATCTTGTCTGAGCAACTGTAAGAAATAATTTTACATAATTATCAGCATTAAAAGACAATTTGTATCTTAGTAAATATAGTATCTTCCAAAAAAAAAAAAAACTTTGGAGAGAATCCAAATCATTCATGCTAGTTTGTTCTAGTGCTTAATCACCTGTGCTACTAAAAATACAAGCTATGTTCATTATGTACATCTGTACAACTTGAGTTTTTTTTTTAAATCTTTGTCCTTCTTCTGCCTCTTTATAAAATAATTTACCAAGTCCTTTTCTGTGAATATCTTTCTAAAAGTTAGATATCTGAATTCTGAAGAAAAAGTCTTTCAGTCTGGATTCAGTCTCAAATCCCTAATATTTTAGTATTTGTCTTTTCAAACAAAAGGCTTTTCTTAAACAACAGCTGTTTGCTTCCTACTCTTGTTATCCAGTATACATCCATCATTGTGCAAGTCAGCAGAGCTTAAGGAGGGTGGGTGGCTAGTTTTGGGGTTTTAGAATTGGCAATCGAGTAGGAACACTGGAATGAAATGCTGGTATTATAAACTGAATATTTTTAACTTCACCATCTTCTTATATGATTTGTAAATTACACTATCCTGATAAAAGTCAAATGACAGATAAAATGAAAAATGATACATACATTCTTTAAACAGCATATCCACATGTAAGGCGGCAATGGTTCTCACTCATCCAGTTTCACAATTTACTTCACATTTTATTTGATATGATAGAGATCATTTCATTCTATGAATGAAAAAAAGTACTGTCATGTATTCAAGTTGAAAAAGGAGAACTCATACCTACAATCCGGAGACCAAACAGAAGGACTTTCCTTTTATTTGCAGTCACCAAAATTCTGTGCTTGAACTACTTAGGTGTCAGCCATCTGCATCCTTGCGAAGTTGTTAACCAAAATGCCATGGGGAGTTGCACAAGAAACTCAGACACTCTTTTGAAGTCTAGTGTATAATAACAACAACCTCACCACCTTAAGGTTTGTCTTGAGATGTTATTCTCACTGAAACATCATCTACTAGTGTTCCATGTGCCATCAGGCATTAAAATGAGATGCTAAATGCCCATAATTTATTCTTGTCTGACTATTAGAATCTGATAACTGCACAGTGTGAAAAGGACTTCAGTTTTCTGATTAATGCAACAGTCCACAAAGTAAAAGGTTCCATCTGTCTTTTCACCTAGCACTATCTCATCTTTCATATAAAGAGAAATCACTCCTTGAAACTTGAGTAATACACAGTCCTCCTAGCTTTGACGCACCATTCAAACAAGAGAAACTTACTTTAGTATACATCACAACACGAGTCTGTAAGGGAGGAAGGAAGGGCAGAAAAAAGTGTAAGTGACACCACACCTCATACTTATTCACCTACGTTAATAGGCAAGTTGCAACGGAGTAGTTATTTTATGCTTTCCTCACCTGCAGGAATACAGCTCAACACTGCTCATGGCAATGGCAGGTGCAGAGCAAATTATTCACTACAAAAAAAGCAGGTGTTTGCTTTTTCTCTTAGCTCAGAGAACTGATCCAGCTTCACTAATCTCTGTGCCACACTGCTGCTCCTAATCCAGATGACTAGTGTTAGAGCTGTCAGCACAATCTGTGGGGCTGTGCAGTGTGATAAGGACCCAACTAACACATCGTGCCGTCCCAACTTAATGAAGGTTTGGACATCTCCCACTAGGCCACCTTAATTGCAACTGGAAGCTTCTAGACACCTGACACGACGGAGGAGACGCATGATAGAAGCCTCATGGCTACCATAATGAGAACATCAGGATTTTGTTCCAGCTGTTCACAGGATCTCTGCCTGCCTCATAGTAGAACCTTGTCCTAAGAGCGCCCTTAACAAGAGTCCTAGGAAAACAGTATTTCATCACTATTTTGATTTGTGCACATTTTTCTTGTTTCTAACAAAGGTCTTTCTTCTTGTACCATACACACACCACACTAGTCTAACTCAGGTTAGACTATCAGGCACTTTTTGTTTTACTCCTGCTATGACTAATGCCTTACTTGAAGCAGAGATCAGCTACACAAGAGCATAAAATAAAGGGTGCACTAACAGTTGTAAATTTGGTGTTTCCTAAGAGCCTGACTGTTAAATCTCTTTGATCATTAAGTCCAGTTCCCTACTACTGTATCCCCAAACTTTCTAAAATCCATAAAATTCAAATCTTACTTTGACCTAAGGAACACTGACCATGTTTTATGAATGCAAAAAAAACCCAGACATGTAGGTGTCAAACCATAGGTCATATCTGAAGGAGAAGGCTACATTTTTAAACTTTTGAGCAAGTAGACGGAGATTTTTTTTTTTTTTTTTAACTCTTACAGGATTCTTATTACATTCTAATTTAGGCATCATTGTGTAACTTGTCAGTAAATGTTGTTAACAACATAAAGAACAGAAAAAAATAGTACTATAATGGCCTGAAATATCACCATAAGAACAGCTGAGAAATAGTGGGAAAGGGAGAGAGTCATCCAGTGTTTAGATTACTGAACAGAAAAAAAAAGTAGAAAATTTAAGAGACAAATTTATCTCTTCTCAAAAGAAATTAAAATGAAGCTCAAAATAATACCACAGGGAAAAAGATGGGTATATTATGCATATGCATGTATCTATCTATCTATACATACATGTATATATATATATATGAACTGGTGGGGCTGCCCCACTGATCACAGGTAAAAATTCAAAAAACAGTAACTCATTTAAATTATTTTGCAAAGGAATCTTCATAAGTTCATATAGTAAAAGAGTGTACGTACAATCAAATATCTTTGTGACCTTCCCCTGGGTGTGAATGCAATACAATTTAACTTGAACATTTGATCATGACATAATACCCAATAATTTCTGCATACCTCCCCATATATACTTGTAATAGAAATTGATACATATATCTCATTGATACTAAAGTACTAGTATTTTCCATAAAAGAGGATTTTTTCTTCTAGCTTTTTTTACTAGCCTGATAGGAGTTTTAATGTAAATCATTATGCAACCCGTAATAGAAATGCAAAAACTTCTAGATGCAGTGTTTTCAATCTTTTGAACTGCAGGCAACTGAAAGCTCAAAAAATAAAAGTAAACAATCAGTGTATTGGATTCTTTTTTGAAAAAAAAAATTACTCTATTTTTGACTCTAGGAATCTACTGACCACACAGTTTAAAAACTAGTGTTGTTGAGTGAAGCGCTTTACATGCAAATTGTTTTAAGGAAACTAACCCTGTAAAACAACAGAAGTATCTAGACTTTTTCCTCGAAGAAAAGGAAAAACTCCAAAGTACTCTTAAAAATGTAAATAAATATAATGCCATGGTATGAGGAGAAGTCAAAGTCAGTGGCCTATAATTTCTGCCTTTTCCCTCCTTACCATGCTGGCTGCCTCTCAGATAAGACAACTCATCTCAGCAATGAAAGACCACCTATGAAAACAAATTTTTTTGTTAAACTCTAATGGCAGATTCAATTATACTTGTCCTAATGCAACTTTTATCTTTAATTACAAAACCATTGGTATCAGCAATTTATTTAAGTGCAATCTAAATAAAATTTAGATCTTGGCTACCTGTAATAAGTCTTTGGTCACTGAAAACAATATGTACTACTAATTGCTGCAAAAAGACTGGGATACCCCTTCCAGAAGGAAGGAAACCTACAACAGGCATCAAATTCCAATTCTAAGGCATATGGTCCTTGCTGGTAAACACATGTGTTTCCAAAAAGACATCATTGTGTTTTTAAACAAATGATATACAATCTTTTGAAAAACAGAAGAAAAAAATCTGTAAGCAGCAAATTTATTCCTAAGAAAAAGAACACTGCTGCATCTGCAAGAACTAAGCATTTTCAAATATCTGAGATTTAGTCATTAAACATTCCCCCTCTCCTTTGATGTAAGGAACTGCGATCACAGTTTCATCCTCCATCACATTTCATACAAATACAAGCCCAATAAACAAGTCATCCTACTCATCACAAAGAGGGTGAGGCAGCATTCCTCGATGCAACACTCTCCATGTTCTCCGGAAACCTTTTCTTATAGTTGTTAATGAGTTTCATTTGACCACATTCAACACTCAGCACCACCTCTCCATCAAGAAGTCTCCTGCAGTACCACTACCCTAGCCCGTGCTGCACAGCAACTTCTGCAGCAGTGCTCTGTATCAGCACCGAAGGCTGCCTGCGTAACCTACAGCACTGCCTTAATTCCACGCTTTAGGAGCTGGAACATCAGAACATTAGCTCAGTCATCACCTTAAAGTCTCTACAAACAGCATTACCAGCTGAGCTGCTGTTACCTTGGAACCACACACACGTTCAAGAAGGAAGGAGTGAGCAATACAGTTTTAAAAAGGCAATTGATGCTTATGAACTATCTATCAACCAGACCTGCTAGTTCCCCTAGTCTGTTACGTTGCATCAGGGTATGAAAAATGAAAAATAAACAAAATCACTGAATCTTCGTAATTACTGTCTAATCAATTCCTCGCAAATTGAACCTTAGAGACATCTCACTTACTTATATTGTTACCTTCCTGTCTCTTAGCCATTTAGATTTTTTCTTCAATTAAGGTTCACTCTACAATCTACAAACTACTCATCAGTTATAGTCCAGTTCAGTAAAAAACTAAAATTTTGTTTTCCTTTCTAATGGGATCAAAATTAATCTGAAGCATCTTCAGCCTTCTCCTATACATCGGACCAAAAATAACCTTAACAAGCAGAATCTGAACTTCCTTTTTCAGCTCTTCTCTGACACAGCTATCTTTTCTTTTGCCTGTAGATTTACACAACATAGTTTCCATATATGCCACACCCAAAAGCAAAGCAAGGATCTCTTCTGACCTTACTTCACCCCTTATTTTCACCCCGAAGTGAGTGACTGCATGACATTCTACCATCCTTGTATTCCTTGCTCTATTTTGTTTCCACTCTTAATATTAGTGATCACTCAAACCTTAGCAATGGTTGAAGAAAACATTAGCAACTTCTAACTTTTCACAGTAAAAGACGCTCAGACAGCATGATCATTTTACCTTTCTCTTTCACTCATACAGAAATTAGTGGTTCTTTATCTTAGTTTTAAACTGTTTGAGTACTTTGGAATTTGCTCTCCCTGCTCTCAGCTCTACAGTCACCAGCTTATTTACCAAGAGAAGGAAGTCACTAATCTCCTACAGCGGGCACTTCTCTGCCTTCTGGCAAGGGAAGCTGCACTATGAGCACAGCAGTTAGTCCATCCTCCTTCTCCACGGCCTGCACTAGAGCCACAACTGAAACACAGAGTCTACTTCAGTTTTACACTCCTTTCAACAGCTCCCTGCTGCTAGCTAACTGCAGTCAACTGCCAAACATTGTCCATACATCAACCCTTTGTGCTTGGCCATATTCTTGCAATCATATCCTTGCAGGAGGGATTCACATTTCCAGATGCCTAAATTGTTTGGGGAAAACAAAACAACACAACACAATAAGGCAGCAAGTCATGTCAGAGATGGGCACTTCACTCTCATAGCTCAGCTATACTCAAAACCACTCGGTGCATAAGGTATCACTCAGCAAACACCTTGGTTTGTATTATAATGCTGTTTCTGGGTAAAGGCCATGTATTATCAAGAAAGTATAACAAATCAGACCAAATTCTGCTTGGGTTAGGGGAAAAAAAAGTGGAAAAAAAAAAAACCTTACCTATTTCAGAACTGTGCTAGCCTGCTCTCAAAAAACCAAACTACACGGCCACTTATGGCCAGCAAGAGCGCATGCACACGTACACCCTAAATATCTGTTTTAGAGAAAAAAAAAAGGGGGGGAGGGGAGGGGTGGCATTAAGAAACTAGTTTTGTTTTCGCTCCCCCCC